GGGACGGGGGTGGGGGGGGGGGGGGGGGGGGCATTGTTTTTATAGACAATCAGTACAATTTAAACCATAGCCCCAGAGTCTGTGGGTGCACACGCTGTTCCTGACCCGTCCTGGGCATGTGTATGTGTGTGCATGTGTGTGTATATGGGTGTGAATATGTGTGTGTGTATGTGGGTGTGCACATGTATGGCTGTGTTTTTATGTGTGCATGTGCATGTGTGTGACAATTTTTCATGTGCATGTGTGTGACAATGTGGGTATGTCTGTGCATGTGTGTGTGCATGTGTGCGACAATTTTTCAACACACCAGAGGAACGCCGCACAACTGCCTGAGGCTGCCGTTGTGGGAGCCCTGCCATGAACGTGGGGACTACCAGGGTCCGCGTGGGGAGATGTACAGCCGCAGCCAAGCCCTCGCAGGGGCTCTCCCCAGGGAGAGCAAGGATGGGTGGAGGGAGGCAAGGGGATGCTGAGAGGGAGTTAGGGATCTCCAGGTGCAATCTTCATGGCTGCGATCAGAGGCCTCATAGGCGACTCGAATTGACTTTGACAAATTTGGGATCAGACCCAGGTGTTCAAGCCCCCCCTGCAGCACACGGGGACCCCCACGCCCAGAGGCCACGGGTCCTGTGTCCCCGACTGCAGGGGCAGGGAGATGCATGTCTGTCGCTGCAGCTTGCTGCGCAGGGCTCGTCTGCACTCCAGCATGCCAGCACCGAACGCTTGTGACTCATTATTTTGCAGCAGTGCCCTTGACGACGCTGGGGCAGGCCCGGGAGCCTCGCGAGGCCTGGCGAGTCTGTCGGGAAGCCTGAGAGCTGGCATAGAAACAGGAGGAGAGGGGCCGAGGAGGCTTCGAGGAAGAAGCGCAGCTTTTCTGCGCAGCACAGACAGCCCCTCGCCGGAGGACCGTCCGGGCAGGAGTTGGGCTTGCGGGGTGGCTGGCAGCACTGGGGAGACCAGAGCCCAAGGGAGCAGCAACCGTGCATGGTGAGCATCGTTCCCCGTCTCCGCCAGGGATGTAACCCCGGAGTCACGGCTTTTGGGAGCACCGTGGCAGGGAGCGGGGTGGATTTGGGGAGGTCCCCGCTGCACTTGACTTCTCCCCAGACTGAGCGGAGGTGGCTGAGCGTGGCCAGCCACGGGAGTCGGGGCAGCAGCTGTGTCCTGTTGGATCCCCTCAGACAGGGACCTCTTGCTTTGCTTCCAGACTGTGAGGCTTAAATCGGTGCATCCGGCCAGGAAAATGTGTCTGGGACATGGGGCATGAGTGGCAGTGGCAGAGGGGAGGGTCTGGGGTGTCGTGGGTACGGGTCCTGGAGACACGGTCACTAGGAGCAAGATGCAACCTTGACCCCTGTCCAGTGCTGAGCAAGGGCAGCCTCTAAAGGAAAGGCTTTATGTCCTGGCATGAAGCTCCAGGAGAGCAGGGGGCATCAGGTCCAGCCTGCAAAGCAAATGCCACAAGGCTTCAGGGACCTTTGCAGCTGCAGGGTCCAGCTCTGGGGGCTGTGGCAACTCTTTCTGCCCCCAGCTAATGCAGCAGCACCTGCACACGGGGCCCAAGGGAAGAGCTAGCTATAAATTGGCACCTGCAGGGCAGCTGAGCTCCCCCGGGGCTAAGCCCAGGCTCAGAGGACGGAGACACATTGCCTGTTTTGGCCTGAGTGGAGGTGTTTTGATGCTGGGAGGTAGGAAGGATGCCCTGAGGGAAAGCTGGGGCTGCTTGCCTCCGTGCTGAGTCACTGGCCGGTTCCCGGCTGCCCAAGGCATCGCCGGCAGCCAGGAACGTGCCTCATGCTACCGGCACCGGGACACGAGCTGCCCGCGCTGCCCGTGCCAGCCTGGTCAGTGCAAAGCAAGGACAGCGGGTCCGAGCCCTGCCCAGGGCTCAGCGTGAGGGAAGGAGATGCAACTACCCTGCTTTCCTGACCCTGGAGCCATCCAGGGGCCCAAGTGGACCCTGGCAGGACTGAGCCATGTAGGCTTCACTGGGGGCTTCTGCATGCTGTACCTGGCACCAAACAGGGGGGATCTTCAGTGGTGCCTAAGGGACTTAGGGGCGCACGTGTATTGCAAGCCAGCAGGATTCAGGGGCTCTGAAGGGATTTGGGTGCTCGGAGCCTGGAAAATTACCCGCCTCGTGTCAGCAGGGGGGAGGCAGCTAACTTTTCCCCCCCGGAGGGAATCCCCCACCCCAGGGAGGTAATGGAGAGGGAACCCAGAGGATTTCCCTGACACCTGCTAGGGCTTTGGCTCCCGTCTGCCTTTATCCGGGGCTGATTCGCCTTTGCAGCCCGCTGGACCCTGCTGCAGACTTCATGCAGAACTGCAGGCTCCCGCACCGCTCCCTCTGCCCGGCGACCGTGGCGTTCGTGTGCCACCCAGCGTACACCAGTGTATGTGTGCTGGGAGGTTGGGGAGCAGGGGTCCTGGCAATTCATCGCCACCCTGGGACCTTTGCTACCAGGCTGAGCACCCAGCATGGCACGTTCCTGGGGCCCGACTCAGGTCTCTGCAATGCGGTGTCACTCTGGTTCCCAGCGGCGAGCGCGGCAGCATGTGTCTGTCGCTCCGTCCAGTCACCGTCTTCTCTAGGGAGCCCCTGCCCTGATGCATGCATGGCAGGCATGCCCTGTTCTCGTGGGACCCCGGCATTGGCTTTCAGGCAGGACCCTGTGGTGCGGTGTGACCGCAAGGCACACAGCCTGCTGCACTGCAAAAGGACATCCCCCTGCCAGGCCTGGAGCCCCTTCGTGTCCCTTCCAAGAGAGCGCCAATACCAGGGCTCCACCGTCTGGAGCTCAGCATTGGTGCGGCCGGATCCTGGCTCCCCAGCCAGGTATCTTGCAGCATGGACAGGCGCTGGTATGGAGGGCACAGTGTCAGCCGCCGGACAGATGGCACTTTCTGGAGCCTGGGGCCAGCTGGAGGATGCAATGAGAGCGTGGCCTTACCATGCCTCACAGGAGGTAGGGAGGTAGGGCTCAGGGGCAGCACACCCCGAGGCAGGACCACGGAGCAGGGGATGGTGGTGATGGAGACAGCAAGAATGGAAAAAGGGCCGAGGTGGTCCTCATTTTCCAAAAAGGGAGGAAGGAGGACCCAGGAAACAACAGACCCGTTTGTCTTACCTCGGTCCAGGGGAAGCTCTTGGAGAAAATTATCCAGGTGCACATCTGTGAGGGGCCAGGAGGGGAGTGTATGCTTAGGGGTGACCAACACAGGTTCATTCAAGGCAGGTCCTGTTGGACCAACCTGGTGGCCTTCTACGACCAGGTCACACAATCCTTGGACACAGGTGTCACAGTGGATGTAGTCTTTCTGGACTTTAGGAAGTCCTTCGACACTGTCTCTCACCCCATTCTCATTAAAAAATTAGGAGATTGTGGTGTCGATGCCTACACAGTCAGATGGGTTGCAAATTGGATTGGCTGGAGGGCCGCACCCAGAGAGTGGTGGTGGACGGGTCATTCTCGACCTGGAGGGATGTGGGCAGTGGGGTCCCCCAGGGCTCGGTCCGCGGGCCCGCGCTGTTCAACATCTTCATCAGAGACTTGGACAAGGGGGTAGAA